ATTTATACACAATAGATACTGAATGAGTGTTTGCAAAATAAATAGAAGCTTAGACTCCAGTCACATACTCCTTGTTCTGTTTTAATGTAATTTAAACATTTCTTTCTCTAAGGTTATAAGTTATTATGGGTGTTCTCTCTTCTTTTTGGGTTTTTAACCAAGCTATCTTTCATGGCAGGTATGGCATAGCAATAAAGATTATTTTCATTAAATGTCAATAATGTGTGCGTGTGTGTGTGTGGTGTCATTTTACTGGATGATTTTTTACACGTAAGTGCCAAACTGTCATTATTCTCAGCTATCTTGTATAAATTTCTAATATCTTGATTGTTTCTGTACATCTTTAGTTCTTAAACTTTAGTGTGCATCAGATAAATCTGGGGATTCACCAAAACCAAGATTTCAGAGCCTCATCCTCAGAGTTTCTGATTCAGTAGGTATGGAGTGAAGCCTATACGTTTTCATCCCTAACAAGTCTCCGAGTGATGCTGATGCTCCTGGTCTAGGAGTTACACTTATACCTCCTGGGACATCCCGATCGCTTCTTGGCACTCATGTTTGCTGCACACAAGAATGGTAGCTTAACAAGAGCACTGGCAATGGCTGTGGTGGACAGCCAGACCTGGGATGTGCATGCCCTTCCGGAATGGGGACAGCAGGGGCTCCACAAGGCAGAACTGGAGAGAATGACAGGTCTGCCTGCGGCTCAAACTACAGAATAAGAACCATTTTCACATGTGCAGAGGGTGGAAAGAACTATTGTTTGCCCATCAGTCCCCAGCGCAGCACATGCTCTAGTGATTGCAGTCGATGGCAGTCGTGTCATCTTTGAATATGAACGATGGCATTATAATGCCACTACATCCAGATAGAAAACACGTTTTTATTTATGCTCACTTTCTGATGGGAGCTCAGCCAAGTAAATTCCAGGTGTCGAGTGAGCTGATGCATCCAAATATTTACGTGCATTTTATTGTTATTATGCATTCAATACTGGTGTGATTTGCCTTGTAAAGTCCTTGTATCAATCTATTATATAAGAATACAGAATTGGTGAGTCCAAAAGGATTTTAAAAAATTATAGAGTTCCTCTTGACAAATATAGCAAAATGACTATATCTTTAGTCATTTGATTTACAAAAACTGCTTGCTTAAACATAAATTGGGCAGAGAAAATACATCATTTGTAGACTTGATTATTCAAAATACAAATGTAATGTATGTACATAAAACTTATGCACTGAAGTATTTATTCTTGAGAATAATGAGCTATAAGAGATATAATCATACTTTTAAGAGTTTAATCTGCTAGATAAATTGTAATTCTTGTAAAATTTTACATATTTACATTTTGATCAAACATCTTAATGTTTATGCATACTCAATGTACTCAGAATCAGGAAAATGCATGATTAGTATATTTGATCCCTTTTGCTTCTTTGCTTGAAATATTGGTGAAAAGAAATCTTGCCATTTCTGGAAATGGAGTTAAAAAAAAAAAAGCCTGAGTATTTTAGCTAGTCACTTACCCTTCACTAAGCATGCATGCATCCATAAAAGTATATACTATTTTTATATGTTTGCATAAACTTGACATAAATAACATTATAATGAATGTGCCATTCAGCTTCCTTTTGCCTTTCAACAATTTATTTTTAACTGTTGTATAGTATTCCATTTTATCTATAAATAAATTTATCTATTTTTCAATGATGGACATTTAGGTCATTTCAACTTTTTTAATGGTACGATTCTTCAGTGCATGTTCTTGTAACATATTTCCTTTAGCAGATAGTCTAGAAGTGAAATTTAGTATATGAATATTCACTTTTACTAGGTATTGACAGATTGCTCTCTGAATTAGTTATGCCTAATTATATTGCCACTGCTATTGTATTAAGGTTCTTCTTTCACATTTTCCCCAATAACTGCCTGAGAATTTTTCTGAGTGTTTGTTCAGCCTAAAATGTGTAAAATTGTATTTCTTTGTTTTTATACTTAGTATACCTATTATCCTTAATTACCAGCACAGATAGAAGCTGCTTTTTCTCTTTTCTAAAAAAATTAGTTTGAGTTTTTCTTTTCTGTGAACTGTCCAATTATGTCCTATGCCAACTTTTATACTGTATTGATTATAGGTCTTTATATAATCTGCACACTAATCCTAGTATTGGTTATATACTTTGAAAAGATTTATCCAGGTCTGTGGCTTGTGTTTTAATTTTATTTCATGGTAATATTATTGTTGTAGAAGTTTTTAATTGTCGTGTAATAAATATTATCAATCTTTTCCCTTAAGGTTTGTATGTCTTTTTCTTTCTGTCTTTCCTATAAAAACTTTCTTAGTCTAATATCCTTGGAAATTTTAAAATTTGTGTTTTTCATTGGTCTTTAATCTATGTAGAATTATTGTATGCTGTAGGTAGCATGCATTTATTTTTTATATAAATTATTAATAGTACCAGCATCATTTATTGAATAATTTATCCTTTCATCACTAATTTATATGTTTAGGTCGGTTTGAGTTTTTTATGTTCTAATTTTCTGTAGACTTATTTTGCAGTGGTAGAAAACATGCATTTTTATTTTTCCATGAGTTTATTACATGGTCACAGGGGAATGCTTCCATGCCTTTTATAATTTAAGTTGGACAAACAATAGTCTGTGGGCATCAATTTGGCCCCTGATATTAACCAATGAGGTAGCCATTAGTGTAGCACTCCAAATATTTCTAGTTCTCTGACTTACAGAAAATAATGGGGTTGCACTCTCTGTTCCTTTGCATTTAAGCATTACCATAGGACTTACTTGTCAATGAGCTCATTCCTGTATTGCAGCTCTAAATAGAAGCTCCAGGAACTACCTTTGATTTGCCACATATTCCAATCCTGCCTTGGCAATCATGGGAGCATGGAGGTAGAAATTGTCTGGTAGACACAGAGATGGATAGAGAGCTGCACCCCGGATGACCTTCAGTGGACATGTAGCTGAGCATAAAACACATCTTAGTTGTCTTAAACCACTGAGATTTTTGGAGTTGTTTATTACTCCAAAACAAACTGGCGTAGCCTCAGTGATACAGTTAATATATAGTTTACGATTTGGTGATTGGGGAAGTGGTAACCAACCACCTTGCATTTGTTAGAAGGTGATATTTATATTAATGTTCCTTTTTATTTTCAATTCCTTTTCCCTCCTCCTTCCAATGATGTCACTCATATCCCCCATACTCATGACCAGCCAAACCAATTGGAACCAATTTTTGATGGTGTATATTTCCTTGCCCAGCCTGCTATTCCTCACCCAGCTCGTATCTCTTCCCTCAAATCAGCATTTGCTTTGAAGAGCTTACATTTTAAAATATGATCCCTGAAAGGTCAATATTTTACCTAAAATCTTTGCTGATATAGATCAACTTTCTGACCCTGTAATGAGGGGTCATTATTGAAAGGGAGCTCAGCTGCCCCTTATTATCACTTTGGTGCCTACTGACTTGATATACATTTTAGACTGGATCTGACATTAAAATTCAAAATCATTTGTTGGGATTGGTTAATCCCATTCTCAAAGCTGTGTGTTCAGTATCTGATTTTTATATTCCTGCAATGTTTATTTATTGTCTGGGAGGATAAGAAGGTAAAGGTAAGAAGTAGAGGTGGTGCTAAGAAGATTCTACTTCCCTGGCAGAAGTACCTTTTACATAATCTCTCCATAGATGCAGGTTTCTTGTATGTTAGTAAGTTCCCCTTAGCCCTGGCAGGTTTTCTCAGTAGTTAGAGCATTGGCCCATGAACTGAAGTGTCATGGGTGCTATTTCTGGTCAAGGGCATATACCTGGGTTGCAGGTTCAATCCCTAGCCCAGGTTGGGGGTCATGCAGGAGGCAACTAATCAATGTGTCCCTCTCACATTGATGTTTCTCTCTCTCTCCCCCTCCCTCCATTCTATTCTATCTAAACATCAATGAAAAAATATCCTCAGGTGAGGATTAAAAAATAATAAATAAACAAATAAATAAATAGTTCCCCCTAAACATGCAAAATCATCTCATATTAATGGTAAGAGTAGGGAAATAAGAGGGTTGATGTCCAGAGAATTACATAATTTTGTTGTTGTTGTTAATCATCTCCCAAGGATATTTTTTCCATTGGATTTTTTTCAGAGAGAGTGGAAAGGAGGGAGGGGGATGTGGGAGGAGGGAGGGAGGGGGAGAGAGAGTGAGAGAGAGAGAGAGAGAGAGAGAGAGAGAGAGGTGAAAGAGATACATTGATTGGTTGCCTCTCATATACACCCCAACTGGGGCCAAGGATCAAGCCAGCAATCCAGGTACATGCCCTTGACTGGGAATCAAACCCATGACCCTTTGCTGTGTGGGCAGATGCTCTAAACACGGAGCCACATGAGCCAGGGAGAGAACAACATTTTTAATTGTTCACACTTTAAAGTGAAATATGTGAATTGCTTGATTGGAATGTTTGCCTCCTAACATCTAGGAAGTGTTAGGTGAGGCAGAGGACAAGTGGATGGTGGTGCTGAGTAATGAAATAAGGTAGGTTTATGTGGTAGACCTACAAGGATGTGGGAACCTGCAGCAGCCAAATTCCTGGTCTGTAGTTTTTTTTAGAAACTCTGTGAGGGTTACAGACATCCCCAAAACTCATCTGAAGTATCAAAATCATTTATACATATAGTGATATCACTAAAGATTATCCACCCTGGCCAGGTAGCTTATTTGAGTATCACCCCTATATGCCAAGGTTGCAGATTCAATCCCCCATCAGGGCACCTACAGAAATCAACCTGTGAGTGCATAAATAAAGTGAAACAAGAAATCAATGTTTCTCTCTCTCTTTCTCTTTCCCTTCCTCTCTCTCTAAAATCAATTAAAAGAATATCGAACATTTTTGATTTTAGAATACTTTCTTTTCACAGTACACTTTCCTGCTTCTTAAAATATGAATGTTGATTGGAAAATTAAAGTTTACATCTCTCTCTTTCTAGGTGGTTCTTTGGAGCAATCAAGAGAGCAGATGCAGAAAAACAGCTATTATATTCAGAAAATCAGACGGGTGCCTTTCTAATCAGAGAAAGTGAAAGCGATAAAGGAAATTTCGCCCTTTCAGGTATGGGCATTGTTTTGTGTGATTTAAGTATGTGGGTGAGAGGCTGTAGTCATGAACCTACTGTGTAAATAGGGACATGTTAATTTTAAATTTGCCTTATTTCTTATCTTCACAATAGTACCAAAATTATATCTATTGAGCCACTCCAGAGTAATATAAAAATTAGCCAGAAATTTTTGTCTATGGCTAGCAGTCTCTATAAACAGTTTCAAATGCATGCACTCTAGATATGAAATTAAAAAAATGTGTGGATCTGGCTGTGTTTTCTTACTTGCATTATCAAAGAGCCTCTCCTTCTAGGGAAATAATAAGCAAGAGGCAAAGACCATACTTTTGTCAAAACTGATCTTGCTATGATACATTTTTTTTTGCATTTCATTTGTCTTTGTCTGGTAAATAGAAAATGAATTGAAATGCTGAATGCAAATGCATTTAATTAACTCCATGACATGTACATTTTGTCAAATGTAGTTTTCCAGCTAAGAGTCAAGTACATGTTTAATTTACACTGCTCTAGGAAAGAAGTACAGAGGACCTGAGAATTATCATTAAGAGTGACAGGTGCATGTATGTCTCTGCTTTCAAGAATCTGTGCTTCTTGGTGCATGTTTCAGTTCTGCAGAATGTTCTTTTTTTTTGGCACTTGCCCCTGGCGGAAACCAAACCCAGGACTCTATGGTCTGCAGGCCCACGCTCCAACCACTGAACCAAAGCGGCCAGGGCCAGCATGTTCTTTCTTAAGGAATACTCCAGTCCGTCTCTCATGTGAGACTTTCTCCTCATCCTTCTTTGATCTCTATTGCTAATCATTTGTGTTGTTACCCCCTTTAAAGCATGTATTTTCTTTCACCAACTAGATGCAAGCTTTTTGGGAGAAGAGCTTTTGCCTTCCTTTATCTCTGCTGCCCTGCAACAAATATTTATTAACAAGATGCCCATGCGCCTCGCTGTGTCTGCTTGGCTCACTGAGCTGGAAGTCAGCACAGCCTGCGCGGTGCAATGTGGAGCAGACCTGAGCCCACAGGTACTGGGACCTTGACCTGACCCGATCCAAGGCCAGACTGTGTGTGTTTTATACCTATTTTCTTCCTCACACCTGATGGTCCCAAATGTCAGAGTAGATGGATTGGGGCTGAAGTGAATTAAGGGCCATGGTACTGAGGCAGGTTTTTCAGGTTTCGTCCTTCAGCTTCTTCCTACGCTGTCACCTAGTCAGTGTGGTATCACCGGGTCATGTGGGTGCAGCCCCACACCTACCCGGTTAGAAAATGCTGTTCTGATGCCCATTCTTGAAATGTTCCCGAGTATGAGGTCACTAACCTTTCTAATTTTGTTTATACCCAGAGTGATAACATTTTTAATGACTGATAAGTGATAGGCATCAGCTACTTAGAACTGATTCCCAACTAGGCTGGGACTTCACACCAGTCCACACCTGCATGCACCCAAGTGACAAGGGAATATTTTGTTATATATAATAGCTTTTTTCTGACTATGAAACTAATATAAGCATTTTTATAGAGATAGAAGAGCTCAAAGAAGAATAATTTGCAAAATAACTTTCTGAAGATACATTTTAATACTGAAATACAGCTCCGGAAAGCTTTTTTTTATGCTTAACCTTTGAGTAGATTAATTTAAACACACACACACACACACACACACACACACACACACTCAGAAAAACACACACCCAGAAAACAAAATTGAGATCATTTTGAAAATAAAAAAATATATAAATATATGTGTATTTATATATATGTATCTATATATATTTGTGTGTGTGTGTAATGTGGACCTAAGTTTCATTTTACTTTTTTGTGTGTGTGTGTGTGTGTGTTTTTGTTAATCCTCACTGGGGGATGTTTTTTTCCATTGATATTTAGAGAGAGTGGAAGGAAGGGAGGGAGGAGGAGAGAGAGAGAAACATTGATGTGAGAAAGACACATCGATTGGTTGCCTCCCACCCACACCCTGATCTGGGCCAGGGATCCAACCTGCAACCCAGGTAACATGCTCTTGACTGGGAATAGAACCTACAATCCTTTAATGAGAGGGCTGATGCTCCAACCACTGAGTGATACTGGCCAGGGCTAGGTTTCATTTTTCTTGTCTCTCAGTATCCTGCGAACAGCTTTTCATGTTCTTTAATATTTTCTACATTATTATTTTTAGAAGCCATATAATTTTCCATTGTATTGGTGTGCCATAATTTATTTAACCTATTTCATATTTTATACATTTTCATTATTTTCACTTATTTTGCTGTTATAAAATATGATGCAGTGGGCATCCTTGTAGATAACTGTTTGAAGTTTTAAAGATTTTCACAAGAATATTACATTCAGAAAAAGAAAAACAGATTGTTTTAAAATTTCTGTGTCTAATGATAAGAAGAGCTATAAGAGAATGACGTACAGGTGTTAAATGCATCCATGTTTGTTTATTTGCCTTTGCCAATATTTCCATATCAAATTAAGTAGTCATTATCTAGCCAAAAGCTTGACTAAATATTTTAGATTAACATTAAAATATAGACGAGTAATATTTCCATGAGGAAGACAAACTAAAAGTAAAATTAGCTGAGTCATATTTTTGAATAATGCTCAGGCTACAGTTGACTATTCTGAAAACTCTCTAAGTAGAATATTATGGGACAAAACAGCTTTATAGGCTTAGAACAAAATTACAAGGATATTGGCTATTATGTGCTGAGAATACTCTAGCACTTGCTTATGGATTTGCTAAGCTTTGTAGGCCCTACTTGGAGACTAGCATATTATTATAGCTTCTTTTTCAATGAAGTCAAACAATTTAGAGTCTTTCAAATAAATTATCTGATTGCTGTGTATTCACTGGGGGACAAAGTAAATGCAGACCATTATGTTATACTCAAAGGAAAATTCTCTTATTAGCCAGAAGGAGGGCTCTGCAGGAGAAAAATGGAAAGAAAAAGGTCTTCAGTATATCTACATTAAAACAAACAAACAAACAAACAAACAAACAACCCAATTGCTGACTGTTGATTACCACTAAGGCTCTTCTGATAGACCGCTCGAGGATTTATTTCATAGTGCAGTTGTCTCCTTAATCAGTCAGAATTGATGCTCTTCAGTTTTGCTGACTGCTGTGTTGCTAAAGACAAATATCTCTTTTCTATCTCTGTCTGTCTTTTCCACGTGAACTTTCCTTAGATGCATTGTCTTTATTCCGTGGGCAGGCATGGCTTGCAGTTGTCAGAAACAAGCATATGATTTACTGAGGCTGGGGGAGGGGGCATGCCAGAGTAGCAGCCCAAAGTTGGGGTGGACGCTAATTGGCTCCTGTGGTCCTTGAGTGACCATCGGCTCTTGTGAGGTATGAGAAGATCTTGAAAGAGAGTTAGGGCCCTGACACCTCTCATAATGGCAAGACACTAATTAGCTGTGAATTACAGCCTCACTTTTGGATATTACATATTATATGTGGCAGCCAAAGAATCTGTCTTCATTAGATGCATGACAGGTAGTTTTAGTGGCCTTACTGTTATTTATCATTGGTAGTGAATTGTTTTTCTAATGAAAAATATAAAATTCTGACTGCATGTGAAATGGTTTGGCTATTTCTTGACTTCAATCAGTTAGTTTAAAGGAAATTATTATTGTTATTATTAATATTAATTTGATGCTTGGCATCCTATAAGCATTTGCATTATTGTTTAAAGTACATGTTAAGGAAAATGCGCTGTGAGGACTAAACCTGAGCTGCAGGTGAGTTTTTCAGAAGAGATTCCACATTCCACATTGTAAGTGTACCTTAGACAACTGCAGATTCACCTTCAGTGAACCTGCTCAAAAGCAAATGTTAACAGATTGAATATAGTTGAAGAAATGACTACATTGAGGACATGAGGCAGAAACGCTCATCGGCAACATTCAGGGCGATGCAGCAAGGAGTGGAGATCACATTTCTGTATTTGTTTATTTCTTCCACAAACATTCAGAGAGCCTACTAAGCACCAGGCCTCTGCAAGGTCAAGGGCAGCGAAGACAACGAGGCTCAGGCCCTGACCTCAGTCTGCAGGGGAATTGTAACACAGCTGTCTTGCTGTGAGGCAAAAGTGCGTAGGAGCCGTAGGAGCCGAGTCCCCCAGGGGGAGTCAGGAAGGATTCACAGAGGAGAGAACATTAGGATTCTGTACCAATTTGTGTTACAAGGAAGTAGTGTGGGAATCATTAGTCCTGGCAAAGCAAGTGCGCAGAGTTGTGAATATTTCTGGTGTTCTATGGACGATAAAGCAGGTGTGTGTGTGTGTGTGTGTGTGTGTGTGTAGCAGAGACTGAGTAAGGAAGGGAAGGAAGGAAAGGAATGGCAGAAAGTGAGACTGGAAAGGAAAGTTGGAGCTAAATTGTTCAGGGTCTTGCATGTCATGCTGAGGAATGTGGCCCTTATTCTGCAGAGGGAAGTCTCAGTAAGTGACCTGGTCTGACATTTGATAGCATGATGAGAGATTAATAGTCTGAGAAGGAGTGAGAGAGACAAACACAGTGGCAACACTTGTGGCCGTACGAAGTCGCAGGTGCAAGGCAGCAGAGTTGGTCAGCATTCTGCAGAGAGGGCAATGGGATCCAGGCCCTGTGGGCTGCACGAGGGCTCTGCTCCAGCACAGGATGTCCCCAAGGCACCTTAGGCCCCTCTGTTGCTCTCCTTTTTTGTGGAGTAAGTATGGGAGTGGCCCTAGGACATGTATAAAAGTAAGTCTGTGCTTTGGTGCCATGCAGTGTGTTTGGATATCACATATTTGCAGGGTTGTTTGGAAATCCCAGCACCAATCAATTAGTTTAAAGAGTTTGGGTGCTGTGGGAAATTGCAGCTCCTCTTCCATGAAGAAGAAGCCATGGGATCTATGGGGAGTTAAGTTCAGCCCCTCTTGCTGGACATGGGGGGTGATGGTGGGACAGCTCCTGTGGGTTCAGAAAGAGGTCAAGTTTCTTTACTAGACAGTCATGCTCATCTCCTTC